TGAAAATTATGACAAATAACTAAATAACCCTGTAGCTCAGATATATTTGAATTTCTAAAAAAAAAATTTTTCATTATTTAGCTTGTGTTGCAGTCAGCCTAAACTAAGTGTTAGAGTTATTGAGAGGAAACTGCATCTTTGACTGTAAACAAAATACCTCTACATCTAACATGTCTAAAGGATTATAAGAATATTCATTAGAGGGACTTTTCCTTGATAACCAAAGTATTATGGCAATATCATAGATTGTACACTGACTACAAAACTATTCCCTTTACGAAACAGTAATACATCTAACTTATATTCCTTCTGTATCTTTCTACCAGTGAATTAGGCATTTTTAGACGTGATTACAGATGTCTTACATGTCTTAGTGGGTGATATCTCAAATGAAAGTACATGAAATTAAAGTGTGTTTATACGGGTTTTCAATCGATCTCGACAGAATTTAGCCAACTTGTAAAATTATTATGATGAAGTATTAATTTTATGTTTTATCAGATTGTTATGAAGCTGTCTGCAAGGCTTTCTTTACAGAGTGCAGTCTTAGATATTCATAAGACTGAATGGAAGGAAATTCTAGTATGTTATTACATTTCGTTTTTATTGTGCCAAATTTCTGAATGCATTATTACCACACCCTTCATCTCATTGTTAAGTTTTTTTTTAATGAAATGTCACAAACTGTATACAGTTCTACAAAGTTTTATACATGTATTTGTATAGTTATTCCTATGGTATTATGGTCAGAAAAGACTGGTGTGCATGTCTAACATGGACGCGGTCCAGTAAACTACCAGAAATGAATGTAGGCCTTTTATGCAAAGACTCCATCAACAATGTTAGAGGTTCTCTATCTTTGCTATTTAAATAGCTGATGATGAAATCTCCAAGGAGTATATCAATTGTATGAGCTCTGAGTAAATAATTCAGGCCATTGACAAATTCTCGAATTTTCAAGTAATTTTACGACAAATTAAAATAAAGGAAACATTGTGCTTTATTTCCTTATTGTCGCGAGAGAATCCAAATTTTAGCGCATTCAAAGAAGGAGAGCGTTTCTGATACACAGTGCGAATATTCTTTTTGATGCAAACTCCCTGACGATAAAATTTATCTGAATCATTATCATGCAGATAAGAGGTAAGAGGAATCAAGAAATATCCGAGTCACCATATCTTGGTAAAAGTTGTGTATCGGTGAATGCCAGGATATCGCTCTTTCAATGATTTACATCGTGTCTAACACAGCTTTGTTTTCTAAGAGAACGTATGTTTAGAAGACATAACTGTACAACTGAATTAGCATCCACTTTTTTATTCACCGATATTTCTTTTTCTCGGTGAAGTGAAGTCGATCAACTCAATGCAACGTACACTTGTATATACCACTGTTGGTTTTTGCGTAATTCTGTCAAGATAAATTTTAACCACAGTTTCCATTTGGCCATTAAATAAGTCTATCTGCCATATAGATGTTTGTGGTAAGCATTACTTTGGCACCTTCTTTAATCTTAACTTCAAAATCAAGTCCACCAGTTACTTATATCCCCTCTTAACTATACTCTGTCACTGTTCTGTTTCGTAACATTAAATTTTTTATGGGGACTAGTCAGAGATTCTCAGTACAACTATTCTAGATTTTTGTTGTTGTGCTCACAGGACAATTTTCTGCCCAGATGTGAAGAGCATCAGATGGGTAATTGTCAGGTGATGCAGATATTAACCGAGTATTAATACACTTTATATCCTTTTCTGTTTGTAAAGCAGTTCTAAATCTGTTTAAGACCGCAGTGAACTTCTCATCATCTTTTTGTCACATGATCTCAATTAATTCTTTTGTTTGGAACACACGCCATGGGTGGCACGACGTGTAAGAATCATTTTTAAAGCTTTCAAAAATAGGTTTCCTCTCAATCGGTGGTAACTGGAATAAATCTCGTGCTTAAGCCTGCAAACAGTTGAGAGACAGATAAACCAAAAATGTACTCTAGCCTTTGAAGTATTTCAAGCAGTGTGATGCTAGAAATCATCGAAATTTCATCTATTATAGTAAGCTTCAGTTCAGACAGAGAAACACTTATCTGCGTCTTCTTTTGATCAGACATCGAAAGAAGGTTATCGCCTGTTTCTTTTGGAATAACTAAAGCAGTATTGACTGTTGTTACACCCATGTTTATGACAGAAACCCCTGTTAGCGCCATCAACAGAACTGTTGGCAGATTAGCATTGCCTCTTGCATGTCTAAATGTTGCTGCTGTGTGATATATTGTCTTTATCAAATGACCTTTGCCGGATCCAGGACCCCTGGTGATACAAAGATACATTGGGTCTTTGTTTTCAGGGTTTTGAGTAAGCATATATTTTATCTTGTTTCTGCACCAAAAAAGGACAGTATCATATGCAATACACCGTTTGTTGTTTAATGACCTCACAGATTCTCGAAGCAAGTCCTACGAAATTTCCTCTGGTAGAATATGGGATGAGGTTGTTGGAACAGTTGATGCACGATCAGAGATATATTTTGAGGCGAGATGTGACAGTAATTGTTCATCAAATAGTTCCCCATCACTTTCACTATTGCTTTGCATATCCACTTGTAACTAGTCATTTTCTTGGTCTAAAGAATAAAAAAGAACGCCACATGGTTATCTTCACTGTTTCTTAAAGCTTCTTGTACTGTTGAGACAGCCTCTGCATCAGATTCAAATAGTCCTCTATTTAGTATAACAACAGACTGAGCTTCAGCCTCACTTTTCCTAAATTTCATTACTTTATTGGTTTTGAGTAGTCTCATTTTGGGAGGTAAGTAGCTTGTGACATCAGAATTTGTGCTTCGCCGATAATTGAACATGTAATTCTGTGGCATCTTCTGTTAGTATTCCTGGTTGTGCATCATTTATGCAGTCAGTCTTGTATTCTTGGAAATAGTATGCAGCAAATTCTACCAAGCACAAGTTATCAACAGCAGGAATTGTATTGGGTTGAATAACGTAGCGTTCTATCATATTTGATATATGTATGTCTGCGCTATCATCATGTAACTCGTCAATTTCTGGCTTACTCTTTGCGACTCTAACTCTCTTCTCTGGGAAATCAGTGAACACACAAACTGTTCTTGGGAAAACTTTCCTTAAACAAAGCTCTGGCATAAATCTGTATACACATTCTTGTGAACCAGCTTCACTACCTGAAAGAAAAACTGCTCCTATTTTCTTCAAGCCATCTCTAATGTTCAAATTTGAGGCTTAAGCTTCCTTTGCTGCATTCACAATAGCCTGTGAACAGTCAAGTCCATCCCCTGTGAATTAGGAGCAAACATAGGTTACACATTTGTAATGATTAAAAACAGGCTACAGGTCAACATTGGTTCGAAAACCTTTGATCCCAGCGACAAAATAGTTATATATAAAACAACTATCAGCCCAGGACGATGCCACAAACCAGAGAGTATTCTAAGCTGTTTTGCCATGGCTACAACTCTAAACACGAACGTTTTCCAGTAGGGAGTTGTACCTGGTATCTGCCTTAGAGACAAATAAGCCTGGTCTTGACGTACAAGATTTTATAAACTTTGCACACTGGACCTTAAATTTGATGCAGTAAGAGAAAATCCATGAACTTTTGTGACAGCTATATTAATACTATCGGATTCTTTTTCCTGTTCTTTTATGAACTGTGCAAAGAACAAATACTCAGCATTCATTGCAAATCTGTTACTGTAATGTGACAAACGGGCATTGAAGTATTATTTTGGTGACAAGCAAACTACTCTCTCCACCATATACCCAAATCTACCTTTTGAGAATATAACTAGAAAAGGCCAGATCTTTTCTTCAGTCATTAATGAAACTGGATGTTTAGTTTCACCTGGTGCAATATTGAAAACGTCATTTGCATCTGAATGCAATGTCTGAAGATAATAAGGTTAAAAAGACTGCAAGCAAGTTTCTGTAGTGAGTGCTCAAAATTAATTTGAAGAATCCTCTCTCTCTTCTTCATTTTCATCATCAGTTGTTCTCTGTTCACTATTTTTATCACTAATTGGACACACTTCACTATCCTTTTGTAAGCTAATTTGCAGATGCAGTTCAGAAAGACTTTCATGAATATTTGTAGCATTCACTTCTGTGCCATCATACAAAGGTTATTAATATTCGGCTAATTCAGAGCATTGAGCACAATGTCAGGGTGTACAGCTTGAAAATAAACAAGACTTTTAACGAAAGTTTTCTTTTCAGCTTTAGCATAACCATTCCTGACCTTTCAGGGGTCTTGGCAAAACATTACAAGTCTAATCGTAGTCTACTGGAACATTTCAAATTGCCCCCTGTATTTTACGTTGTTGACCTTAGAGCATGAGAACAATTTTTTTCAAACACAATGGGCTGTGCCATGAGAATCTGTTCAAGTTTTTCCAGACATCCTAGTTCTAAGGGAATTTCATCAACGTCTAACTTACAAACAGAGTTACGTGTTTACATGTTTACATGTATGACTCTTCAACAGCGTTTACAACTTTCACGAGGTTCGGAGCTTCAATGCCGGGCTTACCAAGTAGTGCAGATCCCAAATCCGCTACAACAAAGATTTCCTGCTTTGACTCCAAGTGATTGGCTTTTAAGGTGGCAGAGCATTAGAACATTAGAGATGGCTTGAAGAAAATAGGTGCAGTTTTTCTGTCAGGTTGTGAAGTCCAGCGACTGAGCTTGTACCCATCAGGCCCTGTCGATGTCCTCTTAGTATTTTAAATGTAGCATTCAGCCTAAGAACGATGAGGTCGGGAGCAACTGAGAGATCAGCTCCAGTATCGAGTTTAAATTCAACGCTATTGTCGTTAATAGAGACATTTGTTTTCCAAGGATCTATGTGTAGACTATCATTTTCGTCCGAACTAAGGGCACCAAGAAAGTAATCTGTATCATCCTCTTCGACTGCATTTACTTTTCAGCTTGGGCAAACGGCTAAGAAGTGACTGTTCTTTTTACATTTTCGGCAAAAGGCATCTTTGGCAGGACACTGGGTTCTTTTGTGAGCTGGACTTAAACTACATCGTTGGCAGACATCATTGCTTACATCGCTTTGGATGAGCACTTTGTACCGAGTGCTTGTAGGTTTTCCCTTGAGGATTCTGTGATGTCCTTAGAGACTTCTGAGGTTTGGACATGTGAACTCCGTCCACTTCTGCTGGTTGACTTGCGTCATCTTGTCCTCTAACTATAGATTGTTGGCTTCTAACTGATTCGCTCTGTCGTACCCTTTTAATGGCTTTTTCCAAGGTAAGGTCTGCATCCAACTGGAACTTTTCTGAAAGCTTTTGGTCAGCTAGACCGACCACAATACGGTCACGGATCATTTCGTCCTGTAACAAACCAAATTGACAATGTTCGGCAAGGCCACATAAGTCAGTAAGAAATCAACCGGCTCACCGGTTTCTTGCTTACTTCGGTGAAATTTTTCACGTTCAAAGATAATATTTCTTCGCTTTACAAAATAGCCGTCAAACTTGTCTTTTGCTACGTCATATTTCTTTGAATTGTCGGTTGTAAGGCCAAATGTCGTCAGTATATCATCACTTTTGCTTCTCATAGAATATAGGAGCGTATTTAATTGGCTCTCCTCATCTCCTTTACTTAATCTAGATGCAGAACGAAACCGCTCGAATCGCTTTATCCATTTGATTCATTCGGTAGGTTTCGAGAAGTCGAATTCTTCTAGTGGCGATGCTTGGTACGCCACAGGTTTGATCATCGGTGCTTGATTTTCACTCGAAGAGCCTTCAGGCATCCTTGATCCGAAATCAAACAAGAAATACACTGGATTGTAAACACAATTGGATGGTTTTTATCCGCCATCAAGAAATCACATAACAAGAACACTTGCCTGGAATCGAGGCATGGTACCACAGGCTACCCAACACTACATTTCGTTTTTCTCCTTCGCTCATCTGAAATGTAAATGCTATAAACTGAATGTAATAGACTGTTGTATCGAGCTCAATTTAACAAACGTTTGTAACGAAGGCTATTTTTAGTTAAGATTTGCGTGACTTTTAATACCCTTTTGTTTTGTGTGACATACTTTCTTTTCAGACAAAAATTGCACAACAATCTGCTGCTATTTAATTTGGTGATATAGTCAATCGGTGATATAGTCCCAGAAATACAATTTTAAAATGATTGGTCTTTAAGCAAGTTCAAAGAAGTTATGTACAGTACAAATATACTTGATTTTCTTACAACTGCAAGTGTTATTACAGTCAGAACAAAGTGTCTGACTTGTCACTTGAGGAAGAAAAAGACTTGTTAAATCTTCTGTCATCATCACACCATTTGCATTCACTGTAAATATAACACTAAATACAGCATGAGCGGACACTGCAGCAAATGAGTGGCAGTGTTCTCTTAAATAAGCCTAAACAGGTTCCCGAACCACGGCCATATCTGTCCGTTCATCATAGTTTTCTAACGGTAAACATGCATCTAATATAATTTGAAAAAACACATTGCAATTGATCTCTCCTAGAGAGTCCATAAGAATATAGCAAAAGCAAGTTCAAGAAAAGAATCAACTTCCCCCATGTTAGGTAATCCGGATTCCGGAATCCAGGAAATTTTTGCTTGTGGAATCCGGAATACGGGGCATTGGAATTCAGAATCCAGCTTTTGGAATCTAGAATCCCGCTAAAGAATGAATCCAGAATCCACTTACTGAAAATATATTTCGAATCGCATCAACGGCTTTCATGCGCATTCATGCAACCATGGTCAGGCTAAAACGCAGGCTACAGACCGTAAAGGCCGCGCTTATTTCGCTCGAGAATTTCGACCGTTACAGCCCACGAGACACTAACAAATTTACTCATAACCTATCACCCAATCGACTTCAACACTGACATGGCCAAAGTTCCCTATTAGCTATCGATCAGTCTTCTGCTCCTATTTAAAAACCTTATTTCCTAGTAAACTTCGATTTTAGCTTGCAGCAATTTCTTTACTGAAGAGTTCGTTGGGCTGTCTTGTGAAGATCCCAGTAATAATTTGCTTCGTCCACACTACACATTCCTTACCTCTGAGTCAGCGTCACTGTCTACACAAATTACATCTGCAGTACATGTTGCCGCGTGGGGCTAATCTCCATGTGCTCGAAAAACTGGAGCCTGCGATTTTGTTTTGCTAGGGAACGTAAGCTCGAACTAATCTCGTAAAATTTCGTCATGTGGCGTCCAAAAACTGGAAACAGTTCCAACGTTACCAAGGGCAAGAAAAAAGTGTATACACCTTAATCATAGGTAAATCACAGTTTAAAAAAAAGAAAACCTATAAATTTCAAAGTCTGCACGGTCTGCGGTCCATGTTTCATCATGACCGATGCAACCACTGTAGAGTGGTCAATGGGTGTGCAAATTTAGAGGGACAAAAGAAATTGCTTTGAGGATTTGCTTGTAACAGCAGCACGGCGACGGACCACATGTTTCCAATTATAGTAAACTTTGAACAAAGAAATATGGATATTTATAAGGACCGGGATAGGTCTACCTCTAAGTCGAATTTTCGGCATTTAAACGTAAACCGCTTTCTTTGATTTTTGGCATTCAGAATACCAAAATTTTAGATTTCATAAGGCATCATATCTCAGTGCGAATAAACTAAGATGTTATCAGATTTGAGGGTCAAACAACATTTTCTAGAAAAGAAAATGGCGGTGGGCTACCTTAAACTTTTTAGAGCCATTGCTCTGAATAATTCATAGCCGACATTATGTGACTTGGCTAACCTTTTAAAGTATAGAAAAGAGAATTCTTGGAAATACCGTGTAAATTCAGATCTTTCGCGATTTTGCGAAGGTTTAAGTATAGTTGAGCTGGTTGAACACAGTTTTATGCGCAATCTCATAATGTCGAACATCATCGCCAATTACATATAGGAAAACAAGCTTTTCTTAGTCATATGAATAAAGGGGTAAGTTTCTAAAGAAACTGTAGTGCTGCGTCGGTGGGAGAGTATAGCAGGTAATTCAATGTTAACAACTGGGTTGAAAACGTAAATTAGCCACCGTAAATGGGTAAAAAAGCTGACGTTTCGAGCGTTCGAACCTTTACTGTGGTTAATTTACGTTTTCAACCCAGTTGTTAACACTAAATTACCTGCTTTTTAACTAGATACGATGTGGGGAATGGCATTCACTCGCTTGCTCGCGCGCTCGCTCGATTGGTCGATTCCTGTAAACTTTTTTTAGATTTTAGGCTTTGAGTGCATTTGATAGTTTTTGGCGAGCAATAAACAGACGAAATGGCGACCTTTGTTGCTAAGAATAGTGGTGCGGTGAAAAAGAAGCCAATGATAATCTTAAAAGATTTTTTTTTTTGGTTTTAGTTTCAACAAGCGGCGCCAGCGACTGGCAGACATGCAAGGATTCACACTGAAATAACAGAACAACCTTCGTTTTTCACAAAATTGTAATTTACAATCCTCGAACTTGAAAGCAATCCGAAGATTCATTAACAATATCACTTACTGCGAAGCGCTCGGAGTTTGCAGATGTTCAAAAGCTTTTTCTGTTATGGCTTGAGATTGAGGACAAAATTGATCATTACGTTTCGTCGCGTGTGTTTTTCCTGTGTAAAGCAATAAAAGATGCCGGCGACTGATGAAATAACAAGTTAACACGAAAATCAAATAACACCTAAACAAACAATTTTAGCTATCGATTTTCAGTGAATTTTTAAAGAACAATTTTCTTTTAAGTTTCAAGACAATTTGAAGATTCAACATACACACAGCGTACTAAAATGCGAAAGTTACACACCACAAAATTGATAAATAGGCGTGAAATGAAATTCTATCTTGTTATTGATTATACGTTACCTAGCACGTGACGTAAATCTACCCAGGCGGAGATCCAAAATGACGGTGGCAGGCTTGGCTTAGTTATATCATTCAAAACTCGTTCCCATTTGTCTCATTTGATAAAGAGGGAATCGTTAATGTTTTCATTAAGACTGTATTGCCTTGATTTTCCAATACTTACAACGAAAGACAGTAAATTTCACATTTCACCCACATTTACTTCCAACCTTTTCTTTTGAACCAGAAACAAAAATGATAGACGTTTAAAACACATGACATCATCCACCCTTGTCAAATGTAATAGCATGATTATTTTAATTGTAATGCCTTCTTATCCCAACGTTACTTTGTTTCTTTGCTACATTAGCGAACACTGAACTACTGCTCGTACTCTAGATATGACAATCAACCACAAAATTCCCTAAACCAGATAACATTAAACATAATCTAAAAAATCATGTGTCAATTCACGAGTTTGCTCACAGAGCACTTTGATCTTAGTCATAGTGTGCGATTTATTTGCGACCTACACGAGGTATTATCAAAATTATATTTCAGTTAAAATTTCTGGTCAATACCATGGTTTTTGTTTAAAGGAAAGTTAAAAAAAAGTAATTTGAAATGACAGGAAAAACTGTTTCGAGCTGTTTTCTTAGCAGCTCTAAGTCAATTTTGGACACAAAAATTGGCCAACTTTTCTCGGTCGGAACAATGTTATGCTAAGCTAAAACAACTTTTTAGTCCAACAGTTATTTACAGATTAAAAATGATAAGCAATGATGTACCACAGCTTTTGAAGATGCATGACGAACAGAGGGTAGTTGTACGGAGAAAGTATGTCGTGAAGCAAGATTGTAAATTATACGACCCCACCGTCGGGGCTCAGTGATGTTGTAGCCACCGAAAGATCGATTTCATGGCCGCCACAATGGGCTTTGTGTTTCACATTGTTTGGTCTGAAATGTATCTAAAGCCGTACAGCCCACAATAGGCAATGGGTCTCGCTGATACTGTCACCATCGGCAGATTCATATCATCGCTGCCACAACAGGGTTTGTGTTTAAAATTGCTTGGGTTGAAATGTATCCCAATGCCATACAGCTCACAATAGGCAATAGGTTTCATTTGTGAACATACATCGATGCGATACTTCCTGCTGTGAGATAGGCTAGAAAATATTTTTCTATAGATGAGGCCCGTAACTTGAACGCCGCATCGACTGCTGTCTGAAATAGGCTCGCAATGGAGATGTTGACGCCGCTTTTCGTTCGGAACTTCGAAAGCAAGTATCGAATCTTTTTCCTCCGTCTGCCGTGTAAAAACTTCGAAAGATGTGATAACTTAGACATGTAAACTCTAAAAGATACATATTAATTTTACTCCCCTAAGAACACATTCTCACCAACCGGCGCAAAGAGATCGTCTGTAAAGAATACACGGTCGAAAACACGTGAAATGGCGAAACATACTTCATTTCCAGTTGAAGCCAATGGCATCATGCCATATAAGTTGCACCTCCCAAGGGATCATGTTGAAGCCAATGAAATTGTACAACATAGCAAACTTTTGATGTATATAGCATTTCTTACACCATGGAACGACCGAATTTTAAACCAGGCTTTCCTCAGTTGAGGTAGCTCAGGAATAAAAGTTGAATTACACGCACTACACTTAGCAAAATCTCGCTGATAGTGTTTTTGTTTGTTTGTTTTTTTGCAGGGCACCTCATGGCATAACGGTGTGGTGGAAGCCAGCAAGTTCATATTGAATGGCTGGGGAAAGTACTGCAGTTGGGGCAGAGGCAGCCAGGGCCGCTCTTGAGGCATCAGCGTCAATCACTGGAGGGGCCCTCTCAGTCTCATTGAAAATTGACAGCCCCATTGTGGCAGGAGTTGCCTTGGCAGCGGGTGCGGTGGTGACGTTGGGTGCATTTTATTTACGTTACAGGTGGAAAACAGAAAATGCGATTAGAAATAGCCTAGAAAGAATGAATGCGATTGGAGCAGCTGATCCTGAGGTCATAAATATTGAAGAAGGTTCCATCATTGTGAAACTCCGTTGCCATACACCGCAGAGTGTACTACAATTTGTGAAGGACTTTAAGGAGAAGAAAGTGAAGCGTCGATTGGAAGAAGAGCTAAAAAAAATTGGATTTGACAAAGAGTTAGAAGTAACTATCGTAAATGGCCAAGAGGTATTCCAGAGAGAACAAGAACTAAGGTAAAAAGCGAAATCAATTCTTTGATAGATAGTTTAATGAAACTTTTTCATAGGATTTCTAAAAATCCAATTTTACATTTGACAATACAATCTTTCTCTGAATATTTCTACTCAGAAACACGAAACATCACAATAAGCTCAAATTTTATAACTTTTAATAATCTTCTGCAGGTCTTTACTTGAACCTCAAGAAGACGTAAAAGTAACTGTTGAGGAAGTTAGCCTAGGTGAGTATCAAAGCGGGAAGTCTTCAAATAAACATAGGTTCCACGAGGAACCGCAAGGTCTTGACCAAAATCCCAACTAAACCAATGCATTCCTCTAGTATTTGATACACTCAAGTTGCCCCTCTCAACGATTATCGCTCTGAAAGCTAACAAAGTATAATATTATTTGTATTAAATTTAAGAATGTTGACGATAGCATACTCTGTGCGTTAGCATCGAGAGGGGCTCAAGAGAGGGAATTCGTAAAGGATCGATACTAAACTGATACCACAAAAAAATTGCGAGGACACCGAGGGCGAATCATGCTACACCATACAAGCTATACAAGTAGGCGTGATTCAGCTTCCAAAGCTATTGATAACACCTTTAACGGATAGGCAGATCTCGTAATCGTGTATCAGTGCAATCGAACAACATAATGCATGATTTAGCTACATTAAGAAGGCCTATCAAAATGTCTACTTAATGACAAAATTCAGCGCTTTGATCAAATTTAATTGAAATATAGAGTGCCTCAGGGTTCTCTTTTAAGAGCACTGTTTTGCTTTCTACATCGTAATAGATCAATCGTAATTGTTGGACATCAGAGGAATCCGCCAGGGTTACAGGGTGAATTTTTGAGCGACAATATTTCCCAGAGAGGTATATGACGTGTATGAGTTTGTGGTATAATACTATAGTGACAATTTTGGACAGTAAAAAGCAAGATCGCTTCTCAATTGAACGAAGCCTCAAACTAAGGAGCACTTAGCCGAATGCAGTACGATAAGATTCTATTTCAGTTGAAATGCTATATATTTTCAGCTTACCTCGGAACTAAAGGTCTCGAACAACTATTTAATATGAATTACTTCCTTTTCAGACTATTTAAACTTTCTTTAACGTGCACTACTTCGAATGGAAACAAACTGTGCTTGATTACTTAGGTTCCTCTGGCTCATGAAAACGGAAGATTAATACTACCCCCCTTTTGTATTTTTATCCTTTTATGGATAGCGTCCATCATTTTATGAGTATCTTTTCTATGTGTGATACGCGCTCAGGAATTTAAAATCGATGTGGTGACTACGTTGACTTCGTAAACGTATATTTATTTTTGGCTTGCTTAGGAACTATATTTCTAAAAACTTTCTGATCGTTAGTTGTTTTGATTTTGAACTATTTAAACTTTGGTTTTGAATTGTAGTTTACATGAAATTAAGGATGGTCAGCAGTTTTACATTCAAATGTTACTGAATCAACTGATGTGCTTAGTGACTCAATTCCTTCAGGCTTTTAAAAAGTGAGAGGTGAAAGTGACTCACCCTACCCCTCTCTGTCTTTGCATGCATGGCCTCCTCGTGATTCGTACGGCGCTCACTAAATTAGAATGAATCACTTGGCTTTACAGACTCTGCTGACTACATTAGTTCCTTTTCTTTAAACCTTGCCGGTCTGCATTTGTTCTAAGCGACAATTCAGCTCTCTTAAATAGGAGTGTTCTCATCATCTCAGCCCGGGTGTGGATGAATCTTCATGTCGTAATCTGTCACTTTGTTTTCTTTTCAAACATGTCAGATTTTGAGAGGGTGTGGAAGTTACTTATCTGTGCTAATTAGTAGCACACTACATTCTATATTATGTACATTCGGTATATATGTTTTTTCAATTGGATACCAACAACTCAATTTTTTTTGGTTAAAAAATATCTTAATAAAAGTGTAAAAGATGATTTTCTTGAGAAGGGTAAAGCGTAGCTCATAAGAGGTGTAAAAACGACCACGAAAACTAACCTGCCCACAGCCATTTGTTCGACTGATCATTTTTTACTGTGTGCACGGTTTTACCAAATTAAATATACAACTTTTTATGTTTCCTTTGAGGATTTACCGGAAACGTCTGAAGAGCGGCTAACGGCTAAATCTCTTTGCGCCGGCCAATTAGAAATATCGACTAAGCTGATTAAAAGGAAATTTTTATACCCTCCACCGATTGGAAGCAGCACTGCAATAAATTTTAGAAACTTGCTCCCCCGTTTACTCTATCGTCTAGTTCAGTTATCAGTTAATAAATATTGCCTCTTAGTAATCAGTGCTTTCAATGAGATTTGGAGTACGTGGCTACCTCAGTAAAGCGCCCGCCGGAGATTAATACGAAAAACAATTTCCCTCTCGTTGGCCAGTAGTTCCATTGAGAACAAACTGGCTCAAAATCAAGTTTTCGGTGTTAAACTTCGGCAAAAATTGTTAATTATCAGTCTCCTTTGTAATGGATCATGGAAATCTATATTATCACATGGCCTTACAAGCTGTGCACTAAACTAAAAACAAAATTAGGGACGGTTTTATCTAGAAAGATAACGCAGTTAGCGTTTGTCAATCTTTTGGTAAAAGTCTCTGCATAGCTCTATTATGGTTCATGTACGTTCACCAAGTTTGATTGGATAACTTGACTATGGTGGCTCTGCTGACTATTAATTCCTTCCCTATTACCATCCCTCATAAAATCAGCGGGGGCTTGAATGCATTTTCATACCTAATCGTAATTAGTCATTTTGTTTTTATTTTAGAGGCGATGAAGAGGTTAGAAGGTAACTTATTTGTTATCTATGATAATGAATCCTAATAACTTTCATTTTGACAGTGTTTCAATATTCACTCTATGAGCAAAACATTGGATATGTATGTGTGTTTGATATTAGCAAATATACTCAATAATGCATTGAGTTTCATTTTCTTTATTTTAGGTGTACATTATTACTGATGCATTCCACGTATAATGTTTACATAGCGTAATTTAAGAGTGTGTCAACGAGAGCACCGGGCAGTCGTGCTACATGCCATCTCACCGATTTCAGTGAAACTTTGCTAGCTTAAGGAGGCTCGAAAGGGTTTTCCACAAATAACGGCAAGTGCCAATCAGTAAAAGATATCAGGAGTGTCAAACTTATCATCAGGATAAAGACTTGACATATGCATAACACTATTTTAAGGGCAATCTTTTATGGGGGTTCGTCAGGCATCATCTGTTGCCATGGCTAAAGTACAGTAGTGCTAAAAGATCCTCTAAAACTCAGTTTTTGAAAGATATCTCAAAAACAAAGGCGGTGACCTTGTTTCTTTTTTCAAATTTCTAAAACATCATCACATTCTCCATCTGTACACGTGATATAAAAAAAACTGTCTAGTAAACTTGAGTTATTTAGGAAAATGCTGTTTTAAAATGTAAAAAAATTCTCATTAGATAAATTTTTTTAAACTTTTCTTCAGGAATGCGTAATAGTGAAAATAATTTGTACACAAAAAATCAGGGTAGGTCACCTAGCTAATTTTCGAGATACTAGCTCATCAACTTAGCAAGCTTTATTTCCGGTTTTCGCAATTTTAGCTCAAACTTTTGCATCCGGTCACGCGTTTTAAACGACACCGCTGACTCAACGGCTCATCTTCGCGAAGACGAGTGCGCGTCCGCGCGATCAATCGATGTCTTCAGCGAAGGAAAAGCGATCCGAAGGAAAAAGTGTTCGTTCTGAAAATGGACTCGACTTCTTTAGTGATTTTACACATTCCTGAAAAAAAAATTATCATTAGAGTCTCAGACTGCTTACCGTTACGACTGTTGGAAATGTGAAAGTATTTCGGAGAGAATTCTCTTGTATGAAGTCACTCTTGCGGAAATCGACTTAGGGCGACAAGTGGATTTTTCTGTTGGCGTCAATGTAAGTACACCATACAGGCCATTGATGTTGAATCTGTCGTATAGAGATTGTAGTTTATGATAAGAAAGACCAGCATCTGCCAGCTTTTGGACAATGCTTGAGGAAAGTATCAGTCAATTCGATTGACTGCTTGTCAATCAACAGAGGCAAATTAACGACTGTGTTTTCAGACTTTTCGATTCATCCAAATATTTGATAACTTTGAGGTCAAATATAATCCATCACTTCGTCTCTGAAAACCATTAGAAAAATCTTTGGGCACAACCGTATTTTTGTCTTGGATGCCTTTTAAAATCTGCGACTGTGACAAGCTTCTCTCAACTACACTTGTCACGCAATTCTGGCTCTAGGCGGTCACCTGATTACATGAACCTACATTTTTTAGCTCTTACAAGATGATTGATCAGGAAAGCTGAAAAATATGAAAAACTTTCGAGATATTTTGCAGGAATGGAAAAGTTCACGTTTAGAGAGATGCATGTAGGCGAAAAATCGATGGGAAAACCGTAGCGTTTCTTTCTTCTGTCGTTTATCACTTTAGAGATTTGCTAAAATCAGCAAATGTGGCTTTTGAACGGCACAAAACATTCATTAGCCAGTAATTTGATTGTTTATCATCATCATTGCTCATTTTCGGAAATTTTAAAGTCACATGCTGCGTGTTGGTTGACACTATTACAAGTTCCAGAGTGCTATAACACCTGCTTCTACAGACGAGAAATTCTGCGCTCTCGCTTGAGAGGAAATATCAATAGCTCTATCAATCTAAAATCTTTGCTACTATCCCGAAAATAAAATTAAAATAGCATTGTCGTTGTCACTTACCGCCATCGAACATTTCCATGCAGAACTCCGCTAAACTAACATCTGTTGCGTGACCCGAAGATTTTCCGTAATTATTCAAGCTCGTTGTTCATGCGGTCTGCTAGATGACAATTTCAGAATAATCAGCAGATCTCTATGATTATTTTATTGCTTCGATCGAAAAGTATCTGCATTTTTTTTTCAAACACTCTTTTACTACATGTAAATCTACATCTCTCTCAATCGAGTGTTTCCTGTGTTTAATTGCGTGACTTGTAAAATTTATTAAGAATGAGCCAGCAGTATTTTGACCAGTAGGCTTCCTGCAAATTTACCTTGATGAAAAAGTCCCAAGACATAGTCAGTTGTTTTCGTGAGCAAAGGAATAAATATGAAAGAAAAGTGAGATGCAAAGGTCTTTATTTTTTTTTAGCTTTATAGCAGCTGTACCCTCTCCTGTAGTCTTCGTCTAAATTTTGCATGGTCCCTCTTTATCTTCTGCTTGTTCAGTCAGTTTCAACTTCTGAAGCCAGATCA